CTAAAAAGAAAATCCTAATCCTTTGTCATTGTTGGACTAGGAATTTGAATCTTCTTATGTTTTCCATGTTCGTCGAAGGGGTAACATTTGCGCGCATAATTTAGCTCAAGATGCTTGTACATATAAATGTACCTCATTCTCGGACGCTAGTGATGGTCTAGACCATATCTAGTCTCAAATTCTCCTTGATGCAGTATCATAGAATCTTTTGAGAGATTGTAATTTTCTTTTACTTAACTATCTGTTGGGTAAGGGTTAACTACAGCAAACCCCGTGTATTTTTGGGGAGGTATAGTAAATCCCCATCAACTTTTTGTATTAGACTAAACCCCCTTGAACTTTAGGAGTTGTTGAACATAACCTCATAAATTGTTTTATTTCTCTAAATCTTACTTGAAGTTTATTTGTTACTCTTCATATTAGCACCATCAGCTCTAACGTGTCACCGGTAAGCACAAGACGAAAAAAAGGAAAAGAAAAGAAGACTTACTATTCCTTCTTAGTTCCAAAAATTACCCTTTTATTAATAAGGAAAAATAATTAATTTGTTGAGACTAAATAATTATTTTTATCTTTTTTTTTTTCCCGCACATGTTTGACACACGAGATGTTAGAATAAATTGTGCTAAGTTGGAGACTAAATGAGAAATTTTCGTTTGAGATTTGGTAAAATCAAACTATTCATGAGGATTATATGCAACAACTCCTAAAGTTCAAAGAGTTTTAGTCTAATAAAAAAGAAATTGATGGAGGTTACTGCAACTCCCCAAAAGCTCATGCTAGTTTTCTATAACTAACCTCTTGGGTAATTGCAAATTTAGATTCAGCTTCTACCTCATCTGGATCGAACTTTCACAATATTCTATGTGTATAATCAAATTCATGGTCGCAATATATTCAATATTGTGCATACTACAAGGAAGAATGCGTAAAGGCGTATGTAAAATTCAAGCATTATTTCCATAAAAGTTACTCAAATTCTTTCGTATTTCAAGATTAGTCCCTCTGCTATTAGGTCCGCAAATTGTATAGGATATTTCAAATTAGTTCATCTGTAGCAAAATTTATCTGATATGTATGTTATCATGATGGATTAGTGCTTAACTATGGATGGGTAATTACTAAACCAACCTCACCAAGTAACTTTCGTCCATCAAATGACCTTTTCCCCTCTTTCTCTCTCGCCCCCAAATCAGGTTTGGATTTGTATTAGACAGGCTGTAACTTGCATAATTACGCTGCGAAAAGGTAAAGGAAGTAATGTTCCCTCAATTCAAACAGGTGCTGACCAGGGAGACTAACTTTCAAAAAACTTGTATGATTTAGGAGACCTAACAACAACTTCAATGATTTGGGAGACCAATCTCAAACTATGGAAGGTTTGAGGGATTAATGTGGAAATCATCCTAAATTCAAAACAGGAAGGGGCGCAATAGATCCTTATTTCATCTTGCAAGTTCATACTTCTGAATACAGGAGGCATTTCTCAATGTTTAGATAAACAGTCAATTTTACACATCTAGAGTCCTAAAAAAGGAAAGGGGGGAAAAAAAAGAAGAAATTTCTTATTTAAACTCATTCCCCCTTTTTATTTTAAAAACCGACCGACTCCCTTTTTATTTACAGGGATCGACCCACTTCTCGGTCACGTCAGCATCGTGGACGCGAAGTGGGGCGATTTTTTTAATCTCGTTGCTAAATAGTCGGGGTTGGCAACCCCGACTATTTTGCTAATACACAAGCTAAATTAGTCGGAATTGGCAACCCCGACTAATTTAGCTTGTGTATTAGCAAAATAGTCGGGGTTGTCAACCCCGACTATTTAGCAACGAGATTAAAAAAATCGCCCCACTTCGCGTCCACGATGCTGACGTGACCGAGAAGTGGGTCGATCCCTGTAAATAAAAAGGGAGTCGGTCGGTTTTTAAAATAAAAAGTGGGAATGGGTTTAAATCAAAATTTTCTTCTTCCTCAATATTAACATGCTAATTAACAGCGTGTTTGAGTGCAAAGGCTAGAGTCGGTCAGTTTTTAAAATAAAAAGTGGGAATGAGTTTAAATCAAAATTTTCTTCGGAAAAAAAATATCTAGAGCAACACGTGTAACTCATTAATATGGTTTTGTCTCTCATACCGGCGGTCGGTGACTAGTTGCATTCATTAAGGTGATCCATCATATAAATTACGATGCTAAATGTTTGATTTTACTTTTGTCTTTTGTCCTCTTTATTACATCATGATCATCATCTACAACGAGCGCGGCATCTTTTAACCCTATATTCACAAGGTAGACTCTCGCTAGTAAACACCCCAGCTTTGGTGGTAGAAAGCGCAGATTAGCTATTAGAGGTCTTAAACGAGAAGAGATGGGGGGTCCTTATTTGAAAAATTGAATCCATAAAAGAAAAGGAAACAAAACTATTCAATATTTTCCAGTCAAAAGTCACTTTGTTTGCTAGTTTCTTGAAGATGCTTCGAGGGTACACATTGAGTCACATTACATCTGAGGACATGTTTGGCAAACCGTCAAAGTGGATTATAATCTATAAAAAGAGATTTGAACAATTGGCAAATGGATTGTTTTTTATTTTAATCCATCGAAGAATAATCTAGCGGTACTCCAAATTACTTTTTGTGGATTACAATCCATAAGGTTTGAATGTGTTAAAGTCAAATTTATGTTGGGAGATTACTCAGATTCCCCTATCACCAGAAAGCGAATAAATGCGCAAAAAAAAAGAGATGCAAGATTTACGTGGTTCGGCACAAAATTGCCTACATCCACGGGCTGCTGCAGATCTTATACTGAAAGGTGGAAAATTACAAGCACTCTGAATATTGCTCTGATATTCTCACTGAGTACTCTCTCTCTCTCTCTCTATTTTTCACTCACTGAGGTCTCTCTGGCTCAGTACTCTCTCTTAGCCTCTCTACACAATTTCTCACTGACCCTTGATTGTTTCTTAGCAGTTGAAAAGATGATCAAATAAGGGAAGAGGGGGACCCTATTTATAGGTGCAGAAGCTCCTCCCTTCTTATTTTTTTTCTTCCTCCCATTTTTTACTTTTGCTCCTGCCTTTCTCTTTTGTCAACAAAAATAGCTGAAGCTTTCGGTGGCTTTTTCATTTTTGTCAAAAAGTGGCTGAAGCTTTCGGTGGCAGCCAATATTTGACCAACAATCTCCCACTTGAAGACTGATTTCAATCTGTCTTCACACCTCGATCTATGCAGCAGCTCTTCCCGGTCTTTATACTATTGCAGGCCAACTGAAGCTGAACACAGCTTCAGTTTGTCAATAGTCACCGTCTTTGTCAGCATGTCTGCCGGATTTTGAGCTCCACTGATCTTTTCAAGCTTCAAAATTCCATCTTCCAGAAGTGACCGGATAAAATGATACCGCATCTGTATGTGCTTCGTTCTGGAATGAAAAGACGGATTCTTCGCTAGATGAATAGCACTTTGACTGTCGCAGTATAAGACATTGTCTTCTTGTTTCTTGCCTAATTCATCCAAGAAATTTTGAAGCCACACCATTTCCTTGCTGGCTTCTGTAACAGCGACATATTCTGCTTCAGTTGTGGAGAGAGCAACTATCTTCTGCAGTTGAGAAGCCCAACTCACTGCAGTACCTCCTAGAGTATATACATACCCTGTAGTGCTCTTTCTGATATCAACATTTCCTGCTAGATCAGCATCTACATAGCCTGTTAGTATTGTATCTCCACACGCAAGATTTACGTGGTTCGGCACAAAATTGCCTACGTCCACGGG